TCCCAACCCTCGTGCTTCCCACGGGTGGCATGGCAGCCAGGGCGTTGCAGTTGAACGAATGTATCAATTGGACGATCGCATCCAACTCGTGGCCTTCAGTTCCCTATTCTCTCATTCTCGATGAACTCAGCGGTGGCAGCTGGAACCGCTATACTATGGAGAGCCGAAAATGTTTGGTGAACTGAACACTCATATTCATGGAGATTTCTAATACAGTCCTTACCTCTGGAGGTATCAGTGTATGAGTAAAGAGTGCACATCTTCCGGTTCACGACTGAGTCGTGTTTTCTGCATAGATATGGTAGGTAACAATGGTGGCAGAATTGTTTCTCAGCACGACGGAGTTTGGACAGTGTCAGCTGTCCGGCTACCGGCTACACCATTTCGGTGCTTAGTTGCCATGCCACTCGAGGGAAGCATGAGGTTGGAATACTGCCAGGTTGCACAAACCTATACAGGAGAAGTCGAGAGGCAGAGGTCGGGTTCGAACTACGGAACCTCCGAACAGTAAATTCGAGCTCTAGCTACTGACCCATCTCACCCTGGCTATCAGTTTATGGTGCAATCAAATTTTTCGTGTGGTCATTGGCTACCGATGGCGGGAATTAGTGTTCGGGTGGTGATCGCTCTCACTTACATATTTCAAACCGTGGCTAATGTCCAGTTTTCATTTTCCTTAAGCTTCTGGTCACCGGAGCAGAGGAGCGAACTGCTCCTCTAGAAGATGCAAAGCCTTCTGAAACGTGCACTAGTAAACGCACAAAAATCAGCCTTGTGATGTTTTAAATCAGCACCAGAGGTGTTGGTACTTAACCGAGAAGAGTTAAAACAAGCTATCTGTCACGAAGAGACTGGACCTTAACGTGGTGTGACCGTTTATGTACTATTGAGTTATAGTCTGGCGTGTCCGCGCGACACTCACAGAGCCTCTCACATCAGGCTGGTCAATGGTTAGAGGTCTGGCCAACACAGTCTCGCAATCCTCCATGTTGGGGGTTTGAACGCGTGCGTCCTGGAAAATGGCAATGTACCTGCGTTTCCAGCCAAACACCGCTGCTTTTGAGCCGAAAGCTCTGTTTGAGGACCCTAGTCGTCCCCCTGTCTAGGTGTGGGCGCGTGGCAGCATCCCAGCTTACACACAACGAACTGCACATATACAACTAAACTCATGCCACATCAGGTGCCGCGTGGTGCTGTCAGCTGGCTCCGCACTCAAGCAAGCAGGTCAACAAGCTGTTCTTGCTCTCACACTGCACTCGCTTAGCATTGATTTGTGCTGTGTCTCAGAAACCAGAATTCAAGATGCAAACAGTAGTTGAGCCAACTGCCACCTCACTCTACACTCGCTTCCGGCTACGCACCTCTGGTGATTCAGAGGCTGCTGCGGCAGGGTGTGCAGGGTTTGGTATCGTCACCGGGCGAAACGATCCTTGCTTGACTGGATACCCATTGATAGTCGCCTCTGTGGGGCTTGTCTGGAAAATTCTACGAAAGAGTTTCACGGGTGGGAAGTTGATCGGTTCCTGTTTGTCATGTCTGCTTACGCCCCAACTGACTATACGGTGAATGATTGCTTGTGCTGACTACAAGCTGCTTTTATGCAGTACTAACTTCCGAAGTTGTCTGGCCACATAATGTCCTCCAACAGCATATCGGCCACAAACTCACGTTGCCGTTAGCTTCCGATGGCGCGGATCAATAATTGACTGCCGGTCGTTTTGGAACACATTTGTGGATTCTGACCATGCACTCGTCCGGAGTTACTTCTCCCTACGTTTCCTTGGGCCGCGCAAGATGTGGAAAAATCACTTGGCAACGAAAAGACTGGCAGATCTAGATGTCAGACGAATTTATCAGGGTTGTTTTCTAGAGTCTCAAATGATCTACCCTCAGTTGTGGATTCGTACTGGCATGGGATCACCACATCATTGCACACTACTGGGAGTTTTGCCTGTGGCATGGCGCTACTAGTCTCACTCAAGCACTGGACACCATATCGAACAGTATCGCTGCTTAAATCTCGCAGAAATATCCCTCCGGTTAGAAACAACTTGACGCTGTTCTCCCCTACACGCTTGCGCATCAGGAAACGTCTTAGATGTTTGCGAACATAATACTTTCTTTGTATTCTCAGAATTCCAGGTGTATGAAAAAATACGATTACCTCTCCCATAGCTTCCATACACAAAGCGCTGTCCGGCAGGGGTGTCCACTCCTTCTATTCCTATTTAATTCGGTGAGCGAAACCCTGGTGATCAAAGAGCATTTGACGAAAACCTTCATCGTCATCATCACCATCAAAGACAGCAACACCATTGTTGGCACTGATGCTTCACTGCCATACAACCATAAGGTTCTTATATATATATATATATATATATATATATATATATATATA